AATCATGTGGGAAATTCAGATTGGATAACAGTGAGTCCTATTCTATGAAGACAGATTTTGACCACAAATAGGGCAGCTTAGACAAAAATCTGCATGAACTCATAACAGCCAATACAATGCATCCAGTTAGTACAAAGGATGTATCAAGATTTGAGAAGCTATTGGTGCCGGGCATGAGAAGATATCGAAATTAACAAATGTTTACCTGTCAACAAGTAAAAGACAAACATCAATTACCATCTGGTTACTTCATCAAACAGTGCCAAACCATGGGAATGGGATCAGATCACGATGGATTTCTTACGATACTCAGACGCCAGCGAAGTGATGCAGTATGGTGATTGTAGACAGATTAACTAAGCTGCACACTTTCTACCAGTTCGGATGACTATTCCTGACAAGTAGCAAATTATGTGAGCGAAATAGTTCGACTCACATGGAGTTCCATCATCCATACTCGGATCGTAATCAAGGTTACAGCGAAGTTGCTTACACTGCATGAAGCATTAGACATGATTCAGTACTCATTTACCTCAAACAGATGGCAATCAATCATTCTAATCTGAAAGACATGATGATCATGTGATAGAATTTGAGGCAGTTGACAATGTACCTCTCATGAGTTGCCTACAACAACAGCTACCCCAACCAAGCATTAAGATGGCACCATAGAAAGCATTGTATGTAGACCATGTAAGGACACCTGTTGTTGACAGAACTGAGCGAAAAGATTTTGGTCCAGATTGTTAGAGAAACAGAAGAAGAAATGGAAATTCATCAGAAACGCTAAAGAAGAAGTATCGAACAGAATCTTAGCCCTGATTAGAAGAGAAAGGATATGATACTCGATGGTGATAAAGGTATCTAAAGTTCCCTATGAAAAGATCCTAAGGTTGAACGAAAGGTAAGCTTAGCCCTAGTTCATTGGTCCATACGAGATGTTAACGTGTAGGACCATTAGCCTATCGCCTACTACTTCAAACCTTAATCAATCATAATTCTTCACGTACCAATGTTAAGGAGATACAATCAGACCCATCACATGGTTATCAGCAGAAGAGATTGAAATTCAGCCATCTCACTAGAAGGAAGAACCAGTTCATATCTTACCAGAGAAACTAAGAATTGCGGAACAAGAAAATAGCATTGTAAAAGTCTTTGGAGAATCATAAGACAAAGAAGCAACTTGAATCTGAAGACACCATCACAACCAGATCCGCAAATGTTCACAACAGTAAACTCGGGACGAAGTGTATTTATGATGGAAGAATTGTACATCCTACTCCGATCGATCTTAGCAGAGAGTTGATAGTCGAGTGAGCGAGTTAACCAAACCCGTTGCGTAGAAGAGATTATAAGTACTTATTGAGTGAGAGAAAAGATCAAGCACAGGGGTGAGGATTGATGGCATAAGATTGAGCTTGGGTATAAGTTGTAGCCTATTTAACAAATGAGGTACCATTTAGAACTTTACATCAACAAATCCTTTATTTTTGAGGGCCTACCCGTATACACATTTTCACTTCCCATTTCATCTTATCTTCATCTTCCTACATTTTCTTCCTTCCTCTTCCACCCTTACTTTCAATTTAAGGTAGTAAGCCTTAAACTTCAATTTTCTTACTAGCCAAGCTTAAGTAAGACTTTCTTGAATCATAATTGAATCATTGTGCCTATTATTTAGAATTCATAGGAATTTCTTATTTAAGGAAGGAGTTCTAGAGCTAGCAGAAAAAGAAAGCTAAAAGAAGCTCAAGCTTTTGGATAAATTATATCTCATTGTTATTTTTTCATTTTCTTTTATGAGAATTGTTGGTTTGCTATGAGACAATATCTTCATGTTGAGTGGAGCGACGTATGCGAGAAAACAGGGAAAAACAGGGAAGTATTGAATAAATGAAGTAAAGTGATTTATGTTGAAACAGGCTTGCTGGAATTTTACATTAACTTCATCTTGATTTTAGACCCCATTTAATGATGGAAAGGAAGGTCATAGAAGATTATTTTTCCCTCATTTGTACTTTACATGGTTTTGAATCATCCAAATTGGATTGTAATATCTGAGAAGATATAACCAAAAAGTACAACGTGAGCTAACGCGAAGCGCGAATGCATGACGATTCGCGTGCCTTCTCCGCTGCGAATTTGACTACCGCTCGCACCTTTCACTGAAACTCTCTGACCTCTTATTTGCAACATTCTCGCGCTCGCGACTTTCAAGACGCCTCGTCGACTGTCTCGCAAACTTCTCTGACTCTCATTGCACATCTCGCCGCTCCGACTGTGAAGGCGCGCTCGCGACTGCGCCCTGGCCTTAAGCGCTCGCGACTTTATCGCGCGCTCGCAAATTTAGCCTGAAACTCACTCTCTTCTCATTGCACTTCTCCCGCTCGCGACTTCAAGTACCGGTCTGACTTGCCGATAAACTCACTGTCTCTCATCTAGCTGTCATTACGCGCTCGCCGACTTGCAAGCGCGCTCGCACTTGTGTTTCATGCATTTTGGACTTCTTTTTCAATCCCCAATTGTATTCCTGCCTCAACCTATATGCCTCAATCATTTTAACATCAATACAACATTAGAACATGTATCAAAACAACATTCAAGCATGCAAAATATGTGAAAATCAAATAATACATTTATGAATATGAATTATGAACTATGACTATATGTTGTATATATTGACATACCAACATATGCTCCATTGAGTTAGGTAGAAACCATGCTAGTAACTATGTCGCAACATAGGATAGCAGATCTGCCCGCCTAACACAGTTTATACTCCCTACAGCCGTTGAGATCAGATTATATGGCCATAGCAGCCAAGGCATACAGATTCATCCAGTTTCCATACAGTCTTGTTCTTACACTTCGTTTCATATAACCTTATAGGCCATACAATATCTTGACATAATATTCATGGGAATTTATACAGATATAAACAGTACCAAAAATAATCAAGTATCATGAAGATATCATATGTGTTGCTATAAATGTGCCATATGTTTACATGTCTTTCTATACATGTATATGTTAATTGTTTCTTTATCTGAGATATATCCACTGAGCATTATTGCTCAGCGAATACCTGTTTAAACTCGCAGTTTTGGAGTTTGGACCGTAGAGAGTCAGCTACAACTGCTGCAGCATCGTAAGAAACTCACGTCTTCAGGTAGCTACTCTACGATGTGTTATTTTGTTATCCTTTTCATGCATGTACAGGGGCACACAGTGCCCATTTCATTTTAACCACTATATCATGTCTGTAATATAATTACATTATTTTTGTAAACAGTATCAAGATCATTATATTCACATACATTAGATTTAGCATATCAGCCATACATCAATCAGTTTGTAGCGGTCTCGTCCGGTTCATTCGGGTAAGGTGACCGGCGAAGGTTACAGGGAGAGATGGTTCATGAAGAAGAAAAGAGAAGAAAGAAAGAAAAAAAAAAGGCCGTTCTAGAGATTCTGGCCATCCGTTATTCAACGGATTTGTCCAAATCACCCGATTTGATTATTTTATTTATTATTATTATTATTATTCTTTCTTTTTGTTTTTAAGTAGTCCAAGGTTAAATTATTTTCGACTAAAAGTTCCAACAACTTGTTTTAGGCTTGAGCCCAACTCGCAATTTAGGCCCAAATTTAAATTTCTCGGTACTTACAGCCCATACCGTTACAAATTCAGATTTTTTAACTTATTAAAAATTCAAAAGTTTTGAAAATAAAAATTCAGGGTATTACAGTTTTCTAAAACGTTCTCCCACCTAATGTTTAGCATTTTACTTCTTTTTACTGAAAATTTTGTTTACAGCCCTATCCTTAATTAATTTAAAATCCTTATGTTATCACATTACTTCTTTTTAATATTTTTTATGTTTGGCTTATTTATAATTGATAGTAAAAGAAAAAGATTTTAATAATATGGATCCCCTAAAATATTAAAAATTTCCAATGTTATTTATAAAATAGTAAACCTTTCAATTTTTGCTCCTTAAATTTTGAAATTTTAGGTTTTTTGAAATCATTTTTTTTATAATGAGTTTAATTATATGGATTTCGGTTTAGTGAAATTTTGTTTTCTATAATGAGTTTAATTTTATGGCTATAAGTGAAAATTTTAAGTGAATATCCCAATGTTTTTTTTTTTTTTATCATTTTAAATTTAATTGCCAATCAAACAACTGTTTTTATTAAACACTTTTGTTTTCAAGTGCTACTTAAATAGGTAACAGCTACTAAAACAGCTAACAACTACTAAAACAGTTAACAGCTATTAGAACAGTTAGTATTGTCGAACAGACCCTAAATAATGAAATATTGTTAAATAAAATACTACTATTTAAGAGGAGTTACTAAAAAAAATTAAATATACTTAAGAGACAAAATTATACAATAATTTCACAATTTTAAATATCTTTTAATAACAATATTAAAATTAAATTTCTTAATAATAAGTAACAAAAAAGAAAATTTCGTATAAGAAAGACAATCAATAAAATTAAAAATATTTATTAACATAATTATACAATATGTTTTAAACAATAACATATTTCAATAGTAACATTTTAAAACAAGTTTCTACTAAAGAAGAAAAAAACAATTTAAAAAGCAAAAATCTACCAAATATGTAAATAGATTTAGTATTTATATTCAAAATTGCAAAACAATTTAAATTAACTTAAATATATATATAATATTATTTATGAGTTAGGTCAAGTTTATCCAGCGAACATTCAACCCGATCCATTATATTTGTAAACCCTAATAATTGATAATAAAGAAAATAGTTCTGCAAAGTTCTTGGAGAGAAAATATTTGATAGAAAGGAACGGTAAAGAACATAAATGATTTTTTCTTCTATTGTCTATAGAACTGGATTAAATATATTAATGTTTGTAATTCAAAAGAAAATGGATAGAAAATAAAGTGTGTGGAGAGAAAACATTTATAGGTGGATCATATGAATTGGGATAAAGAAAACAAAGAAAATATATATAAATTCTTCCCTTGATCATATACAGTATTAATTTAATAATTTGTCCTCACCTAGAAAGAAATAATCAAACCTTTTCTCTCAACAAAAGTCATTCTTAGACATACAAATATTTACTCTCACTATAATAAGTCTTATTAGGGTTAAAAATTCTCTCCATTTCTTTTTTTTCTTTTTCTCTCTCTCTCTCTTTTTTTTTTTTTTTTTTTTTTTTTTTTTTTCAACTTAAAGAAATATTCTCCCAGAGATAGCAAATCCAAAATAGGAAGAAGGGTTTAACTCTCAATATTTAAACTTATCCTAGAAGTATTCAAATTCTATATAGGAAGAATCTTGAGTATGAGGACTGCCATTGTAATGATCACCTGATCCAGCACCCGACATTTTCTTGTTATTAGCAGCTGGCGGCGGCTCTTTGCTTGCATACTGTGAGAAGTCTACTGGTTCAGGTACATGTGGAGGCATTGCACTTCTGACCAAAGCCCAGTTGACACCTTCAAAAAATGGATGCTGTTTAATCTCTGTAGCTCCCCTTTTATAAGCAATACGTTTATGGGGTTCTTTAACCAGAAGTCCTCTAATAAGGTCTCTAGCCACAAAGCTGACTTGTGGAGTTTCTGGGAATCTTAAGGGCTGCCCTACAACATTGAAAAGGGTAGCCCTATTTCCAGAGCCTTTAAAGGGAGTAGTTCCATGCAAGAGCTCATATAAGAATATCCCAAAAGTCCACCAGTCCACAGCACTGCCATGACCTTCTCCGCGGATGATCTCTGGTGCTAAGTACTCATGCGTGCCTACAAATGACATAGAGCGTACATTTGTTGGTTCAGCCATTAGTTCTGGAAGGGCGCCTCCAACGAAAAGGCCGAAATCCGATTTGGATTTACGATTCTTTTTACTTGGCAAAATGCGTGGGAAAAATGTGGAAGGCTGCATACAACCATGCACTGCAAATTCATCATCCAAAATGCCTGTACTGGCATTCCCACTTCCACCATTGTTAACATGTACAGATGATGACTTGACGAGGGTTGGACTGACGGAGCAGCGAAGGGAGAGATCGAAATCAGAGAGCATTATATGGCCTTCATCTCTTACTAGTACATTTTCTGGCTTCAAGTCCCTATAAACAATACCTAACATGTGCAGATACTCCAGAGCGAGCAATACTTCTGAAGCATAAAACCTGTACATCATATGCATATTGCAATTAACAGAAAGGAACATAAAATGTAAGAAATGGTGAATTAAAGAAGAAGAAGAAGAACATATATTCATCTATACAAGTTACCGGGCTGCTTCCTCAGTAAAATACTTTTGGGGTTGCCTCTGGCGAAGAGAATGAAGATTGCCTCCACTGCAGAACTCCATGACCAAGCAATAGAACTTGTCAGTTTCAAAATAAGAATATAAAGTAGGCAAGAATGGATGGTCAAGAAGCCCAAGAATCTCCCTCTCCGTCTGTGCTCTAAGTAGCTTATTTCTACTTGCAAGCGAAGCCTTATCCATTACTTTCATGGCAAAATGAGCACTGGTTCCTCTAAGTTCAACAAGATACACACTTCCAATATCTCCATATCCAAGGCGTTTCAGAAGCCGAAAGTTACTGAGACCAATAGCCCCTTTTGAATTGATCATGTTAATTGCATCCCATCGAACATCGCCACCAGTATGAGGCTTGAATGTTGCAGCAGAGCTCTCTAAGCTGTCGCTACGAGCACCCATGCTATGACCATGGTTCGTCTTTGCATTAGCCGGTGGTATTGTATTATTAGATGTTGGGATCAGTTGATGAGAATTTGTAGGTACTCCCTTCGGACTAGGACGACTGTGATGATTAGCCTGCAGAGTTGAATTGGTCACAACAGGTTTGGATAGTGGATCCATCTTTCTGGGATCAAACCCAGGTTTAGACCCAGGTCCTTTTGGTGACTCGTAACCAGAGTTATTAGCACCATATTTGCTGCCTACTATTTGATCTGTCTTATTCTTTTGGTCACAACTGTGGCTCTTCTGAAAAATTTATGATGATAGCACCAATAGTTTCATATAATTTTTTTGCCGTTCTGAAAATTTAAATCATTTTAGAAGAAGCAGTACATACCGTTGAAGAGTCAGGCCTCATAGAAGGAATAATGGATGACATTGATGGGGCAACACCAGAACAACCCCTTTAACCTTGATAGAAACTCCTAAATGATAATCCTAGAAATTTGAAAAAGAAAGAAAATAGTTTAATCTCATAAATTGCACATGGAAGAGACCATGATTCTTGAAAAGCAAGCGATTGTTTTATTGTTTTCTGCCAACCAATTCTGTGTTAGTTTAATCTCCCTTAAGCAATTATATATTAATAAAATTTGTGTGTGGTGAGCACGTACATGTATCATCTAACATACTCAATCATTGTTTGTGGACATTCTTAACACAATAATCATTATAAAAGGGAACAAGATTAACATGACACAACAAACCGAACAATGATCGTGCGAAAAGAGAAACGAACCAGAATTGTGAATAAAAAAATGAACAAGAGAAAATTTGTTGCAGAAAGCCCTCAAATGGGTTTGGATTAGAATGTTTGAAGAATCAAGAGAGATGGAGATATTAGAAAGATAGAAAGAAAGGAAATGAGAATGAGTGGAGATTGAATGGACTACCACCATCTGCCAAAGAGGAGTAGCATATTTGTTAGCATACTTCTTTTCAATATAATTTTTTTAAGATTGAGAGAGTTTTGTGGAGACATAATATCCCATAAATAAAATAAATAATAAATATAGAAAATACAAAATAATGGAAAGTACTATTCTAGTGCATGATATTCTTCTTCTAAGTTTGTAACGTGCAGGAAGCAAAGAGAGAGGAGAGGAAATGGTCATGGCCATATATAATAAGGGATGGTTAACCGTATAATACTCTTTGTTGTGGAACAAATGGGCAGATAGAGGTCTATTTGATTTCACAACCTCTGACACTCCAGCCTTACAACTCACCTTTGAGTTGTTTGCTCAATTGTTACTTTTAATAGCCACATCTACAAGTTGTCTTTTCTTTTCGTGGTATTACTTTTTTGGGGATGTCTTAATATTTTAAGAGTTCTTACACTTTGAAACCCTGATTCCATGTAAGATTCTCACGTAGAATCACAAGTTAATAATAAGATAAATAATTATAGGATTCACTTTAAGATAAATATATAAATACAGTCATTGAAATTTAAAAGAATAATTGTCGGAGAAAGAAAAAAAATAGAAATAAAACTTACACAACTCATTTATATATTTGTATATTTATTATTAGTTTTTTTATACAATAGAAGTAGCTTTCTATTAACTCATCAAATTGATAAAAACTCTAGTCGAAAGTACTCGAACTCAAGACCTTTGACTGTTTACATATGTAAAAAGTTTATCCATACTATACATGCTTATTTATTATTAGTTTGTCATTTCATGTAAGACGTCGTGCATAAAATCACGGTTGATTAACCTTTTTATATCTAATAATAACTTTTTCTTTCTTCTACTTTTCAAGAAATTTGTGTTTGTATTTTATTAAGTATTTATATTGAGAATATTAATAATACATAAGTAGATGATAATTTTACAAAAAAATTTTAAAAGCACCTTAATTTTTATGACTTCATTAAATCTTTTAATTTATAAAGTTGTATTTATTGAGTACTACAATTTATAAAATTGTATATATCGATAAAAAATTTTCATTGTTTTCAATTGCCGGATATTGTATTGTTGAAGTGGAAACACTTTAATCAATAATTTTCACATTTTTAATAATCTCACGAGTGTTCATTAAATATAATTTCAAACATTAAAGTGTTCGATAAATGTAATTTTATAAAATAAAATATTTTATCTTTTATTTAAATGTAATATTAAAATTTTATATTAAAATTAAAATCCTACACTAAAGTAACATAATTTTAATGTTGGTTAACTTAAACTCAAGTACAACAACTACGTAGTTTTGATTGTTAAGAGTTACTTATTAATTATAATTATTAGTAACTACTATTATTACTAATTATTAGAAAGACAATAATTATAATTAATATTATTCAATTTAGTTCTTATAATAATATTAGATACAATACTAACTACACATGTAATTAGAAATGTTGTAATTATAAATTATAATACTATTAAAATATTAATTATAATTAGGAGAGTCGTAATGAAACATCCTAAATTTTTATTTTCGAAACTTTCAAATTTTTATTAGATTAAAAATCTCGATTTTCAACTATATGGGCTATAAATATTCCCATCCTCGTATCATCATTGGATCAGGCGGGGCATAAAAAACACGCGTCAACACTAAACTGAAACACCCTTAATTTTTATTTTCGAAACTTTTGAATTATTATTAAATCAAAAATCTAAATTTTCGACTGTCTGGACTGCAAATACTGTTTAATTCTAATTCGAGCCCAACTTTACGGAGTTGGGCTCAAGCCCAAAATATATTATTAAATATTTGCCGAGTGGAGAACCTTTAGAAATTTTTAAGAGTAAGTATGGAGCACTAATTATTAAATTATTAAAAAGGTATATGTATATGTGTGTGATTACTATATAAATTAATTATTCTAAGAATCTAATAATAATAATAATGATATTATTATTATTATTATTATTATTATTATTATTATTAACGTAATTTTAGTAAATTGAGGAAATGCTTCTGAACAGTAGACTAAAAGAATCAAAAATTAAATCAAAGTCGGATTAGAAAAACCAGCGAATCGAGCGCCAGAATCCGATTGAAATTGGACCAATAGCCGATTCGAAGTCGAAACGCGGAGATAGGTTCCTTAGAAAGCCCAAAGGATTTTCTGGTGTTCTTCTTCTTCGTCTTCTTCTGTCAGCGTCGAGCCCAGGCCCTCCTTCTCCGTCCTCTTCGCGTGTTTTTGCCGACTCAGCCTGAAGACCAGCTGCCTCCTCGCCGTCCCGCCTCCGTGCCGCAAGCAGTTCCGTCATTCCTTTTCTCTCGCTCCACTCTATTGTTTTCTGGCGAAACGCAGTTGATCAACAGGAGACTAGAGTCGGGAAGTGTAGGCGTCGCAAGTGCTCACTGCGACCGGCGACTCCAGTGCTCTCTCTCGGTGCCGACGTGAGAAGCTGTCCGAGTCCTCTTCTTCTGTCACTCTCCGTCCTGTCCGCGTTCCGGCTGGGCGCAGCGAACCAAGGAAGGCTGCGACTCACAGGCTCGTAGTAGGTAAAAGTCGCATTCAAGAAACCTTGGTGGGAAGTCTATATGATCCCTTATTCCTTCCAATGTATGTTAAACTTAGTTCAATAGTGTCATTGTTGGAAGGAAAAGGGTTTGGCGTAGAATCATGGGAATGAGGAAAATGCTAGGGTTCCTGAAACACTATTCACAGACAGAGAATGAACAAATTCCCGGAAATTCGAAATACTCCTGTTTATCCAATAAAGGACCTAAATTCCTGGCAGAAATACCTGAAATAAGATTACCGTGAGAAAAAAAATACCTCTTTGTATCGATTCGGATATGAGCTTATGTTATGGAGTTTGTACACTTACAAACACTCTTACTTGATGTCATAGAGAGTGTCGTTCGGCAGCGTGAGGATATATAGAATTAGGATAGGGCTATTCATGGGTATATGTGTGAGGTGTCGTTAGTTGGTGGTGAAATGGCACTCCTCCATACCATAGGCCACTCAGCAGATTTAGTTAGAAATTAGTATTGACTGTAATGGTATTGTGACAGGAAGCACATTACCCACTGTAACCAATGCTCTACTCATATAGCAAAATTCAAAAATTGTTATAATTTTGGTCTATTCAGATTTGTGCAGGATACTTTATGGATAATGACGGCAATTTCCTGACCATGATAAAGGTATAAGCAAGTTGATAGTTTATTGTGAAGAAGATCAAAGATTCTAGTTAATGATCGGAACCATAAAGATGTTATATAGTTCTCAAATAATGGAGATTTGTAACTCCGATGAACGCATTCTTCTGATTATGATTTCGGGATCCATTAGGTTTGTAATCAGTAGCACAATACTTTGAAAGCAGGATACTCGAATAAAGTTTCTCAACTTTATGTGTCATTTAGAGAATTTATAATCAGATGTTGATAATAGATAAACGCTTAAATGGAAGGCTTGTAAATTTGATTGTACCAATTGATTATGGTTAGATAGGTGAAGTTTAACCATCAGTTGAGATTAAGTGCGTGTCAAAGTCTCATACAGTCAAACACTTTTCAAGGTTCTTTGATAAGTCGGACAGGCCGTACGCTATATAGCAAGAGGAGGGAACATAAAAAAACGGATTTTCTGGCTTGAACCATATGTTTGGTGATGTCTTGATGGAACGAATTGTGCCCTTCATAAGTTTTTGTTGCTGAGTGTTAGAAGGTATTGAATGACAAAGTTTCTATTGAGTAGCCTGAAGAAGATTTCTAGTAAAGGAAAACAGTAGGCTATTTACTTCAGATTATTTCTATTGATTAATATTTGTTCTTTCGACATGGTACAATTGAAGGTTTGTAATAAGTCCTAATTCTTGCGTGAAATTACGTTAGTTGGGTGTGGAGTCCATGATTATAGCAAAGCTAATTGGATATTTTTTTGCAGAGGTAAGTAAATAACCCAATGGTGATGGCTTGAAAAGCTTGGATTGTTGTAATAGAGTTAAGTTTTGGTATTGTGATTTAAAGTATTTGATGATACAAGTTACTGTGATATAAATTGAGGAGGGAATTTAAGTCTATTTGTACTGGGTGATTGCCCGATGGATGGGGCTGTGTGTTAATGGGTTTGAATGGATATAATAATTGCTGAGTATTTGAGCTGGCAGAGTAGCTTCAATTTTTAGGGGAGGTGCTGCCCCCGAATTTTCGATGAGAACTTAAGAACTACGTTTTAATCCTAAGCAGTTCATCAAATTAATACAGTGTTATTGTTAGATAGAATTTCTATAATTTGAATACAATAGATAATGAGAGTACTCCTACACTATTATATCTTTATTTTCATTAGTGTAATTACATCTTAAGTATTGCCCATTATCTTATTATCTTTATTTTCATTATTAATTGTTTTATTAATGAAATATTATTAGTTAGTTATGATTATTTTATTTTATTATTGTTGTTTATTGTTAACACTATTCACGTTGTAGTTAGTTCTGCATTTGAATTTTGGATGTCTAATTGGTGGCGATTGCATTACGATGTTTAAGTTGATTAGAATTTATCGCTTGCAGTTACTATATTGCAATACTTGATTAATTGTGTTGTGATATTGCTGGCGGTGGCGTTCTTTAGTTCTGGTGTGGTAATTGGGTGAAGTGGGTTTCAACTATGGGACTGTGAAGAAACCCCGGGTATCGTTATGGATGGGAATGGATCCCAATATGGATTAACTGGTTAGCGTGGGTTAACAAGTGGGGAGATCGGCAGCTCTCGTGTGCTACGCGTACCGTTACCTGAGAGAGATATATCCGAATATAGATGCCCAGGGTCTGCGGCCTTCGTTGCGGGGTCGTTTGGGCGCGCAATCCAGTAACAGTCTAAGATTTTGGATCGCAGGCGCCGCAGGGCTTGCGGCCTCCGCTGTTGTGAGGCGCTTGATGAAATTCTAGAGTTGAGTATCGTTGGAGCAAGGGGCGGGGTTTGCCTCCATCGGATGGGTGGTATGAAAAGAAGAGAAAGAGAGGGATGTAGAAAACAAATGGAGAGGGGCCTCGCGCTAAGTGAGGATTGTAAGACGCGGCTCGGCCAGTATGGGGGATTGCGCTCCCTGGGTGGCAATTAAAGGTAGTGAGCAGGTATGAGTAACCATGTGAGGCAGGACCGGCTCATTCGGGGGTTGTGTAAATCTGGTGACGTGCAGGTGAGATGCCAATCTGTCCACGCCTGGACTGTGGATTGGAAGTAAGGATGAAGATGGTTAACCGATTGTGAGTGCTGGTCGATGTGCCAATTTGGTGTGACTAAGAGAATGCAGTGGTAAGGATAAGTGCGGCAGAGCGATAAGCTATTGATTCTGAAGGATGTATGTTTACGACATTGTGTGTGACTTAGTTGCGTGAGTGCTCTCGTGCACACTAAATTATTGCACTTGGAGGCCTTAAGAAGAAATGTTCACATGTCGTTAGTGCTGGTTGTTTACACTTTGTTTGTGGAAGTAAGTTTTTTTTGTTTTCTTTATAATTCCGACTTTTAGGCCTGAGGTGGTTTTCTTTCGGACCGGCATGGGGAAGTAGCAGAATTTTTTACATAAGTTCCATAATTATTTTACTATGGTAGTTGATGTGGTATAAAGAAGCTGGATGTATACCAGAAGAGTTAGTGACTGCCGGGCAGTTGTAGAATTTGGTGTATAGATTAGTCCGTGATCCATTAAGCATGAGGGACGATATGAGGATTGATTGGTGAGCCCATATTAAAAATGGTGATGTATTAGTTAATTGGGGCCCGGAACTTTAATGGAGATGTTATTAACTGATAAATTTAGGCCGAAAATTGTAATAGAATCTTGAGGTTTATTTTTTCGTATGAGAATATGGGCTGAATGTTTTTGAAATATGTATATTGAAATAATAGATATTCAGTGGATGTCAGGGCTTAACTACCGGGCCCTGCGGGAGCCTTAGAGGCGTTGACGCTGGGCCTAGGGTGGCCGGTCCGGCCCATGGGAAGCGGTCGTGGACGTGTATAATTAGTCGTGTATTAACATAGACGATATAATTATGTGAGCCCATATTAAAAATGTGATGTATTGTTAATTGGGCCCGAACTATGGAAATGTTATAACTGATAAATTTAGGCCGAAATTTAATAGAATCTTGAGGTTTATTTTTCTATAAATATAGGCTGAATGTTTTAAATATTATATTGAAATAATAGATATTAGTGATTCAGGCTTACTACGGGCCTCGGGAGCCTTAAGCTTACCTGGGCCCTAGTGCCGGTCCGGCCCATGGAAGCGGGTCGTGACTCGTAATTATACAATTAATTATGATAAGAATACAAACTATGACTAGAAAAATTATAATTAAAACACTATTAGAATAATGATGAATTTATATAATTAATTTATTATAATTTTAAATAAATATATACAATTACACTTTTCACTAGTGTGTATATACATATAATATAATATAATATGTAGTTTAGTGGTTTATAAGTTATAATATAAAAAAGCTTATTTAAGAAAAATTGCTTATCTAAATTAAAAACTGAGTCAAATTTAAGTTTCCTTTCTAAATATCAAATCCGAGTACTTCAATCAAATACACTTAGTCTTTCATCATTTTAATATTTGTTAAGCAAATAGTAATATAATTTTTAATTTAAATAATAAAATATATAAATATTTTGAAGTTTCAAACTAAATGATATATCTAAAAATGAAAAATAAATTTATTAATTGGTTCTGCAGTATGGTTTTGATTCAGTTCGGATCCAACACTATTCCCATTGAGTTCCAGTTCGGTTCTCAGTAAGAACCATAACCAGAACCAACATGTTAATCTTTTCGGCTATGGTTTTGGTTCTAATTCTTTTTCGGCTTTGATTTTGGTTCCAATTCTTTTTCGGCTCCTGTTATTTTAATTAAATATTAAAATATGTAAGGTTAGAGAGGTGACAAGTAGTTATAATATATACTTCGAATTAATATGAATTTAAATATTGATAATGATGTAAATAAATTTAATTATGAATTATTTTTTTAGTTGATTACTATCAATTTAGCATAATACTTGGAAATATTAAGCGTTCATTTCAGAAATTGATGCATATTCCTATCTTGTTCTTCTTTAGATTCTAAATGATTTCAGCTTATCATCTGCTGCAGGAGAGATTTCAACTTATATTCTGCTGCAGGAGACCACAAACTGGAATAACTTACACTGCTGATTACTACTATTGTGATCAATAGTAAATAATATTGATGTTTTATTGTGAATCATGATTTAGCAGAATGTATATTTATATACTTTGAATTTTTTAAATCTCTTTTCAATACATTAGTTTTAACTTTTTATTTAGAATTAAATTAAACTTTTCAATAGAATTTAAATCCAAATAGTAAATTAACATAACCAATCAAAATTACATTTGGACAATTTTTTATTTTAGAATTAGATTAAATTTCTTAATAGAATTTAGATTCAAATAGGAAATTAACATGATCAATCAATAATTAAATTACCTTTATTTTTTAATCAATAAAATTAAAGTCCTTAATAATATTTTTATCAATCCATAAACTTAGTAAGGACGTTTTAGAAATATAAAATCGAAAACCCTTCAATTCTTACTTTTACGTATTGCAGATTTATAAATATGCATTATAACTTTAATTTATTCGACTTGAAAAATGTATAAATGTATAGATTTCATATACAATAAATTAATAATAGAAGTTAATCTTAACAAATAAACTCAAAATCATTAATCAAGCTAAAGAAATATAAAATATACTTCATAAATTTCATATATTCAATATTTAAATAATTTTTTAATCCTACATTCTATATTTAATTAATTTTTTAATGAATTAGTCAGCTCCATCCAACTATAATTTTAATAAATATATATACAATGATTCTTACATTTTAATTACAGTGAAAAATTAAAGGTTAAATTGACTCAAAATATAAAAAATGATCCTTTTAATCATTTTAAATAAATTTAAGGGTTAAACTAACCCAAAATATTAAATTTGATTTTTTTAATTATTTTAAATAAGTTCAAAGATTAAATTAGCCTAAAAAATCAAATCTGACCTTTTTATAACCCCTTAAACAATTTCGGGATTCAAATTGTCATTTATTTCTAAAATTTCTTCAAATGTATAATAGGTTTACTACTTTTGAAGCTTTAATCTTATCCAGGCCTTAGCATAGGGTTCAAGCTATAGGAAAGGCACTGTGATAACATGTGTTTCTACCATATAATGTTTATAACTTATATTGTGTAAAATATATTTTGGCTTAATAATATTGTAGTATTTCTTTTTATAATAATCCCATATATTTTTTTATTACGGTTGATGAAATTCTATTGCAATATTTAATTTTGGTATAATAACAAATAAAAAGGAAAGGTTAGAAGTCTTTATAATAAAACAGAAACAAAAAAAAGACATCCTTAAGTCCTATAATTTTACAAGTTTTAACTATTAAATTAAGCTTTCAAATGTTAATTGATCCATATTAACCTCCTTAAACCATTATTCTCTCACAAATATATAAGCATCCGTGAGCGGCAGCCACAAACACGCATGAAAAGATGAATCCAGACATCCTACAAACAAACTGGCACACTTATATTTAGTTCGTGATCGACGTCAACTTTTCAAATAATTTTTTACATTTTAACTAAACGCTATTTTTTATAATGTCCAATAACATAATGTTTAAACTAAAACATAACGTTTAAACTAACTTTTAGAGGTTAAGAAAATATTTTATAAAAAGTTAACTCATGTAATGTTTAGCTTTTAGCATTTTAAGAAAAGTTACTAAAACAGCTAACAGTTAAACGCTACTAAAATGGCTAACAACTACCACAACAACTAATTTTGTCAAATAGATTGGAAAAGTATTTTCATTAAAACATCAATATATGATTGGAAATGGGACTTTTGCCTTAGTTAAATACCGAATGCTACACAATCATACAATTGAAAATGGATACTCGGATGTAGGAAGAAAAAACAACAATGGAGCAAAAAATATCCTTCAGGAATGCAATTTGATTCTTTCAACTGTCATATTTTCAGAAGTAAATCCAACCTACAAAATCATCAAATCATTTTCCTGTCCTTTCAAAAATTCCACAAATGAGGAGAAAATTTTTTTTGTCCATGTAAAGAAAGCTCTCTAATATACCCATAAAATTTAACTGCCTTCCCCTGAAAACTGAGATCAGAGAACAATTTCTATTCCATATAGCCTCACGGTGTCCTTGGCTCCCAAGGATTTGAGTTTAGTTTTCCCCAGATTACATGCCGCATTAATATTACATACTCTGGGTTGACCTTTCACAAACATGAACAAAATCATTATGCTACTTATTGGTATATCAGGAAGGGGAACATAAACCTGAAATTCATGTCGAACTCCATGTTATCGAAAAGCTGGCCTCTCTTCATCTGGATTTGCGTGCACCTTACTCAAATGCAAAAGAACTCGCTAGCTAAACTCCAATTCAGCTTTCCTTAGAACAGATGTGACCCTCTCGTAGAATTCTTGTTCCTTTTCCTTGATATCCTCCAGTGTCTTCGATTCATGTTCATCGGCCTGTGGATAAGGGAAGAACCTCCATCAACAATTTTAATTAAAATTTCCAAAATAATGTATGTTCTAGTTGACCAGGCCTAAATGTAATTGCACCAGGTCAGACTGTACATAAACCCATGTAGTGGTGGTGAGAGAGAGAGGAAGCAGTGGTTTTAACAACTTAAGAAGCAATTTTGAAATGAAATATTGAGCTCTCTCGGAGTTCGATAAAAAACAGCTATTGCCCACATCATGTAAACTCGACCAAGAACATAATAAACTCTCTAATTTTCTCCTTATTAAGACCTTGTTTACTTCCACAGAAATATCAGCAACGGGTCTTACTCTCTCGCTCTTGATACAAATTGGGCAATAAAAATCAAATTGAAGGATGATATGCTGGTAAAGAAAGTCTAAATAATAGCTTTAGCAGACTACAAAGCGTCATGCAACCTGAGGCACTCATAGGAAAGGGACATATGAGATTGGCAACAGCATTAGTTCCTAGCTAAGGGCATCTATGAAGGTGGAAAGCTGCAGAAAATTTCCAAGAAAAAATGTTTTCAACAAGAAGCCACCATATAAGGGCTGTCACTTGAATTACTAAAATGATGATCTCCACGACAAGCCTACATGACCCAGTTCTGTTCCATATTACCAGAGACAATTGAAAACAAATTAATTTATTTCCAATTCAACAGCAGTAAAGCACAAAGTAATTAAGATGTCCAAACAAGTTACAGAAAGGCCCTGTTATAGTATCTGATCAGAAAGCATGGGGAAGAAAATTTATGGAAAAATCTATCATGCACCTTTTTGTAATGCGACCTTAAAAGTGTGACTGGATTTAACCAGGTAAAAACAAATAAAAGAGGAGAAGCAAGGATAAAAGCTGCCACTTTAGAAGCAGCAAAAATGTACAGACATGGTGTATGAATGGACACATATACCGAGTTTAGGATACAATTTCCAAAATTTAACTAAGCAAAATTTAGCTCAGATGTAGGAAGATGAAACCTTTTAAATTTGCTTATGTGCACTTTATTGGCAAGATAAACTAGTGTGCTTGATTGGTTTGGGATTTATGATGGTGAAGCAATAATAAAAGGCTTTGCAGCTCATGGGACTAGGGTTTCAAATAATTGCTGAAGTCATATGACAAAAAAGTTCTAGCATTCTGGAAATGTCATCAGAGAAAGAAAACTTTTGCAGCATGATATAAGAAAATGATAGAGATGCACACATTAGGAAAAGTCTAAGAAAATAACAAGTTAACAACACTACATAAATTGTCCAAACTCATTCACTTCCTATTAATATAGGAACTCCAAATCAGAAATTTCCTAAGCAACAAAAGCCAACTGAAACATTTTTAAATAAGAAAATTCTGCAGAAAATTGTAAAACTCGCTAACAGAAATTTACAAGAAAAACCTATATTCTAAAATAAGAATTAAGCGACATTGTCATAAATTATTTTTCCTTTGACCGTTTTCAACTATGAAACTTAAACTTCTTAGAAAAAAGAAAAACTTGGCGTATAACTTAAAAAAAGGAGGTTATGCAAACAATAACAATAATCTTGTAACAAACTAATGCCAAAATGACTAAGCACTTTGTTTGCTTCCAATAAAGCCTTTTTTTTTCTTCCTGCTAAAGGATTTAATGAGAATACCTCTTTAAATTTTAAAAGAATTAAGTTTGACACTGATGCTGGCTTTGTCCTATCCCACCTGCAAGGAGAGAATCGATAGACAAAACAAGTTAAGAAAATAGCAGTAGTAAGAGTACCATCTATATGGCATCCAGTAAAGCAAGATGTACAACAATAATTAACATATCTCACTTTATTGAGGAAATCATGTCAGTTAACAATTTGATTAGTAGACCATTTATGAGCTTTGAAACATATAGACTTCCAGGAATGCCACCGAGTATCCATGAATTTGATGAAAATATCACTTGAACTTACAAAATCAAAAGAAAGACACCAAATAAAATTTATATGAACACTGAAACAGCCAATAGACATTTCAAATTAAGTATTGGCACATGAAAAATTAAGAGGACAACCAAAATGAGATTTGGTTTTGACCATGAGAAATGCTTTCATTATAATTGATGTCACACCATAGATAACTATTATGAGTAAGGGTGAGCATTCAATTGTTAATTTGGTCAATTCGATTAATTCGGTCAATACGGTTCAGTGAATAAATGTTCGGTTAAAGAAAATTAAATTTTCGGTCATCGGAAGGTTCGGTTAAAAGTTAATTTAACTGAATTAATCAAATTAACCAACTCTCAAAATTATGTCATTTTGATTGAGTAGATAATAAAATTAAAATTAAATATTAAAAATATTACAATTTCTATTTTGATTAAGTAGTGGTTAAAAAGTTCGGTTAATTTTTAACTCGGTTAATTAAGTTTTCATTTTCTTTCTTTAACTTCGGTTCAGTTAATGATCAAACTAATTCGGCTAAAACGGTTCAGTTAAGTTCGGTTAAAATATTAATTCAGTTAAATTCGGTTTAAGGCAAAAAAAAAATTCAATTAATTTATTTCAGTTAAAAATGTTGATCAAATTGATCGAATTGGCCAAATGCTCACCCCTAATTATGAGAGCTTAAAAGTAGAAATTGTAGTCCTTTATTTTAGATGGCAGACTAGTTTTCAATTAAGATACTTAGAGAAACCGATTGAATTCGTAACGCATTCTTAAATTCAGAAACTAAACAGATATCCAACCTAGAACTATCTTAACCATTTAGAGTTGGCCACATCATCAAACCAACCTGCAATCACCGTTACAAAAAGTGAAATCTTTTGAAACCTAAAACTGGCAAAAGTCGAAACAATTAGTTATGCACTTTAGAATAGTTCTAAGTGTTCTCAAGCTACATTCACAATCGTGTTAGTATGCAGAAATTTTTAATTGAAGCATACTACAGAGTAAGGAGTTTATGTTCCAGAAGTAACACAGAATAGATGCACTATGAGTTTTGCCCCAAAAAGAAGAATGGGGTTGAGGTGAGGTGAGACTGGAAGGTATTTGCTGTCTAAGTGCAATCAATTTAGATATCTAGGCTCTATATTTCAAAAAGGTGGCACAGTGGATGAAAACGTAACCCATAACATTAAAATAAGATGAATGTAATATAAGAGTGCAATAAATATGCTATGTGATAGGAAAATATCTAACAAAGTGAAATGTAAGTTTTATAGAATGACTATGAGACCTGCAGTGCTATATGGGGGTGAATGTTGGCCTGAATGCCCAACGTCAAGATAAATGTTGCAAAAATACGGATGTTAAAATAGATGTGTACTTACACAATATTGGATAAGATTAGAAATGAACACATTCAACAAAAGGTGTAAGTAGCACAAGTTGGGGGTGAATAAGAGGATGTCTAAGATGGTTTGTTCATGTCCTACGTAGACTCTCATGTGCTTTAGTTTGTAAGTGCAATGTACTGACAATAGAAGGTGCTGAACAAGAAAGAGATAGACTTAGAACTACAAGGATGGAATTTACCTCAAAAGATCTACTACTTCTTGACATTAGTGTGGAATTAGCTATGAGAAAAAGCGGAATGGAAACAAAAGGTTAATATAGCTAACTTAACTAGTTTGAAATTAAAATATGGTAGTTTGTTGAATGTTGAATATACATGTCCAAACTCGGGGCAGAATTTTACCTTGGCCTGAGCTTGAATATCCAGCCTAATTTTTGTGAAATTATTTGCTCAACAAGGAAAAATTTAGATGTCTTTTCTTTTTTTTTGTTCTTCCCAACATTTTATATAAATTAATAGTTATTTTGGGTGTTAAAAGTATTGAAGTGTTCATTTTTCAGTAATTGTTATGTTATTCATCTTACCTTTCAAAACTTCATGTGGCACTAGCAGCAAGTGTTATAATTTGGTTGCAGCATACTAATACTAGAAGATGTGACAAGGACTACAACCAAAATTTAAACAGAAGCCCTAAGTTCATGCCCCGTAGGAACAAGGGCAAATGAGTTTTATTTGATGAGGAATGTAATCACATTCTCTATAACCCAATGGATTATAGAACTGGGACCAACAGAAGCAAAAGAAACACCATAGATCCCAAGCTCTTATTACGTTATTAAAATTACAATGTTAAATTTAGTCCTATAAAAAAAAAAATCTGAAATTACAGCTTTTGGCGGTGACATGATACAAAGCGTCCAATTTAGGCTCCGTTTGTTTCTATAGAATAACTTATAGGAAAATATTTTTCATAATTTCCATTGTTTAGGGCGTTCAAAAAAATAAGTCAACAGAATATTTTCCAAGTCAAAGGAAAATTCATTTTCAAGGAAAATGACTTCCCATTTTGAAGAGAGTAAGGCATTTTCCCGACATTGACAAAATTATTATAATCTTATAAATCCATATTTTTTAATATATTAATTATCTGTAGCCACTACCACTAGTCCCCGTTCACTGCCACAATCACCACCACTGGTCACTGGCAACTTTCATAATTTACCTTTTTTTTTCATATTCTACTCATTTTTAAATAATAGAATTTTTAAAATACGAAATTTCTATTATTAATAATATTTTTATGGTCTAATGAGTTAAAATTTTTAATATTTTCAACTAATTTTTAATATTGCAACCAAACAACGGAAAATAAGTTATTTAGAAAATATTTTTCAACGAAAACATTTTCCTTGGAAAATATTTACAAAAATAAGTTATTTCCGGAAACCAATGGAGCCTTAGTGTACAGTAATTTGTTGAATGTCTCAAATCAGCTTAAAGCTAAGAGAACTGGAGACTAAGAGACTATAATGAATAGGAAAAAGGAGTGTCCGTTAGAGAATAATAAATGACTATATGAGATTGGTGCCTAATTTGTGAGCCCAAATGTGCAGGAAAAAGAAGTATAATTCTCTTCTGTGTTTGAATTTGAAAGTATCTCTCATTGCCATCAGCCACTCAACATATTAGTAGACCAACTGGGGATCTACACTGCAATGTACAAAACACTGCAACATAATTTGCTATATTTGAATTTTAATAAATATATACATATATAGACCATCATGCTCTAGGTCCAGAAAAAGGGGGGAGAAATACTCCCATGCTATCAAAGAATCCTAGTCTATCTTATGCATGCCAAAACCCGGTCAAGAAATGATCTCAATGCAATATTATTCCTACATTAGCATGCATATGATTCTACATTCTGAGTAGTAACACACTTCTTCCACATGTGAGGAATCCCTAAGATATACTTATGCCTGCAAGGTTTTGCATTTTTTTTTTTTTTTTTTAAAATAATGGAACACAGGTTATGCAAAGTTGTCCATTCTGTAAGGTTTCCCCATCAAACTGAAGAAAGTGTGCTGATTGCTTCTCATAAAAACAAGCTTACTTCATTCCGTTGATCTCAAAATGGGTTCATTTACATAAGGTAGCTAATACCATTTTATTTCGGCCAAAATCATTATTTATCAGGTACACATATTTCAAACCTTGTTGCTGAGGTTATAAAAGAAAATTTTTCTATCAGCTGCCAATGTTTTTGAAAATCAGCATATTTATAATGAACAAGTTTTTTCCAAAATTCTGGATTATACTATAATTTGAAAGAGAATAGAATTCGGTCAAAAAAAAAATGAAAGAAGAAGAAGAGAATAGAATTATTCAGCTATGTGAAAAAAACATGGACAACTAAATGCTAAGGGAGATGATGGGTAAAACAAACTATACCTCACAAGCATTAACTCATTAATGGATCTCCACATTCCACGTCCAACTTCTTTTGCAGACTGTTCCCTAGCACTTCGCCCATGCCACAACTCTTTTGCAATATACTTCACCTCATCAATGTCTACCTACAACAGCAGCAATAAACAATGCGGCGTATTCCAAAGAGAAACACAAGCAATTTAAGGAAGTTTGTATCTATCCATCAAAAGGTCACATGCTAATCAACAAGGAGAAAAAATAACAGGGTGAAATGATGCTCACTACTATTTGACGCTAAAATCAGTAGAACAGTTAAGCACAAGTACAGAAGTCTAAACAGATGCTGGAATTCTCAGATAGACTCCAAAACATCCCCAGTGGCTCAGTCTATTTCGAGAAACTCATCTTACTGCTTCAGGGTGGAAATAAGCTTTTTAGTAGTGCATAATGAGGTAGATGCAATTTTCAGTGACAATAATCAGTAGCACAAAATGGAATGCTTTCTTGTTAGTTCAAATGGAGCTTTTATCCGAACTTCTCCACAGCCAAAAGTATGCTGAAGTTGAATTTTCCAGTACAAGAAATCATATGCTTCTCCAACGGCCATTAAACCAAAATGACTAAAGATCATTCTAGTGGAGTTGAGCCCAATGCATTAAATTGTGATTAAAAGGTCAATCTAATATAAAAGCCCATAAAAATTGTGATAAACAAATATAACCCACAGCCAGTGTAGAATATCCAATAAGTTATGTTTCCAGTTGTTTGCAATGCCACAAGCCTTAACAGGGCAAAAAAGATCATGGGACCCAATAAAAACTGGCGAGGTCAGCCCCATTTTTGAGCTTTAGCAAGCTAATGCCTGTTTGGGAGCCTCAGGTGGCAGCTAGCCTGTGCAGGAGCCAAGCCATCATATATGCAAATGACTATTGACAGAGAAAACTTAAATTGCACTTGACAGAGAGTGCCGAAAGTGGGTTCATAGTAATTAAAGGCACAAGACGCACTAAGGTGCCAAGGGCTGTTTGGAGCCTAAGCTCTAGCCTCTAGGTGAAGGGCATGCACAAGCAAGGTGAGGCACAAAAATAATTAAGTAAATAAATAAAATAAGATAAAAAACATAAATCTTAAATTAATATTTTAAATAAGATAAAACATAAATCTTAAATTAACATTTTAAGGTATCAGGCAAAGAAGATGAAGAAGAAGAAAGAAAATATGAAGCAAATATAAGGAGAGAAATTGAGAGACATGTCTTAATGGCAGTGGGCTAGAGGCCAGATTGCATGAGGCGAGCACTAGATGGAGGAGTGGAGGTTGGATGAAAGAGCACATCACTGCTTTTTGTGTTGCATTCTATTTCTTTTATTTATTTGTCTATTTCATGCAAAAAAATGCTAGCTGAACAGCTTTATATTGAAAGAAAACCTAGCTAACTTGTTTAGGAAAAAATTCGTGCATGAAGGTTGCGAGAAAGGCACATGCCTCTACCCAGAGGTGATTGCCTGAGTAGGTTGCTCGCCTGAGGACATTTGAGGCACAAGCCCTTGAGCCCTAAGTAAGCATGCCTAACAACTACGAATGGGTTATCCCACATTGGGCAGATAAAAAAGAATGAAGGGCAAAATATTAGGCCATTTTAATTGAGATGAGTCCAAGGCATGAAACTGTATTCCAAAACCCAATTTGATAAAAGCCCATAAAAATTGTGTGTGATGAACAAACCTCCATCACACCTCCCACACCCATAAAAATATGACCCAACAAAATCAAAGTGCTGACATCATCAAAGAAAAAATCCACAGAACAATAAGCCAATGCTTTGTTAAAGGAAAATTTCCATACCTGCACTTCCATAGCTGTCCCATATAATGATTCCTCATGCTCAACAAGACGCTGATGAAGCATCCTGTAATGATCCGAATCAAAGTTCACAATAGGTTCCATCTCAACTTGCAACCCAGCAAGTTGTGTCACAACGTACGAGGCCATGACTTGTCCAAAGATCGCAGGGATGGTACCCAGGACAGGTATTATGCGAACCCTAAAACCTGGAACTATCTGATATAAATTTAAGGGCTTAGATTTATTGTCATTCACCCTATTTGAAATAATACACATTTTTCATATTAAATGACCTAATGATTTGAAATATATCGATTGTCTTTCTTTTAAAGCTCAGTGAAACGTGTTAAAACTTTCATTACAGTAGATTAATTAAATGATGTATGATATTCAAATGCCATCTATGTACCAATATGAGATAGTAAATGCCAAAGGATCAGTAACATCACCACCTGATAATCAGAAGGATTATCTTCTCCACTTGGGCCCTTGAATGGAAGCAGCTTGGCTTTAGGTTTTTCAAGGGAGAAGACAACAGGGATGCCACTATCAATGCCATAATCTTTCCTCAGACGGTGTCTTACCTAGAAGGTAGAAATTTTATTATGATTCAGTGCTAGACATAAAAACAAGAAAGCATAACCACTCAATATAATAGACATATTGATTGCAGAATCAAGTTCTGATGATGATCCATTAGCCAAAAGTATTACAGTTCATCTATAAATATTAGCCAAAAGTAGTGATCATGTGCAGAATTCAGGATCAATGACGAACATGCCAAGTGCTTCGGTTTCTTTTATCAAATAAAACACAATTTAACAGCACCAACTCAAAAATGAAAATTTGGCTAACAATTTTGATTTCCATTAGAGTAGTTGCAGTAAAAAGGGGGAGGGGGAGGTGGAAGGAAGGAAAGGAAATATTAAAGCAAAAATAAACATTTGTTCTCTTGTGAACATGTTAGCAAAAGTAAATATTGAAAGAAAGGTAATTTCTTAACATCCGCATTTCTGCAACATTCATCTATGGGCATGTTAATATTTGAGGCCCCACATTTATTCTTGTACAACATCGCAAGTCTCACCATCACGCTATAGAGTTTGCCTTTCGCTTTGTTAGATGTCTTCCCATCACATAGCACATTTTCAGCACTTCTCCATTTCAAGCATCTTACTTTAATCAGACTTTTTAAAATCAGACCATACTAATTGGTCAGATCGGTTAACCCAAGAACTGGCCACTGGTCCAACAATCTAGACAGCTAGAGTTTAAAATAAAGAGAACATAGAAAATGTTTGAAAGGTCATGGGTTTAAATAGCTGAGTCAACAAGTTTTTTTTTTTTTCAAAAAAATCATAATAAATCAAATATAAGTCCAAAATTACAAATAAATGGTCCAAATTTTTCCTGAAAAATCTACCTTAGTATGGTTGGCTCAATTTCGAAAAATAGTTATCCTATGATTAATAATTAATTAATAAAATAATACAAATGTTATCATTTAGTTTTAAAAATAGCAAAATCCATTATAATACACAAATGCATTTCTATTTGGAGTAGATGATGAATGATTTGAAAATTTCTGTATCATTTAACTTGTTATAACTTATGTTTAGATATTTTTATTATGATGTTGAACATATAATATTTGGTGTGGATAATGAATAACTTGAGAATTAGCAATTACGGATTGATAATTAAAGATGAATGTTTTGAAAAATAATTTCACACAATAATCATACTATAACATTATTTATGACTATATTTTTTAATTTTCTATAAATAATTATAAAACATAAAAAATAAAAAAACTTGGTTGAACCGAGTTAACCCAATCCAACCGCGACTTAGTCATCAAGCCGGGTCAATGTCCAGCTCAGTTTTAAAAAGATTGATTATAATTCCATGTGTTACATCTTTATTTATCATGCTACCCTTCTGAAATACATAGTGTAGATATTTGAACTGGCTGCACTTATAAGCACCAAAATATCTTCCAATCTCACCTTACATCTATTCTTCTTATTGAGGCCAAAGTGATAGTGCATATATTATGTCTTACTTCTGCTTAACCTAAAACCCTTGTTGAGGTGATTCCCATTTTCAACTCCTTAAAAGCATATTGTAACTCAACAATAGGGGTGGCAACGATTCCGGAACCGAGCCGAAAATTAACGGTTCCGGTTACAGTTTGGAACCGAATGGTTCCGATTCCAACTCCTCAACGGATCCAAAATCAACGGTTCCGTCTGGTTCTCCGGCTAGTTTTCCGACGGTTCCGGCCGGTTTCGAGCGGTTTCAGCCAGTTTCAGACGGAACTAAAACCATCGGTTCCGACTGGAACTAGAACCGCCGGTTCACGATTCCAAAATTGGTGGAACTAGAACCAAACCGGTTTTGGACCGGTTCTGGTTCTAGTTCGGACTGTTCCGGTTCCGGTTCCCACCGGTTCGGAACCGATGGTTCTGGTTCCGAAAACCGGATTTTGGCCACCCCTACTCAACAAAATCACTAGAATGTATAGTTGAACAGAAGGGAGAAAATATCTGAAATAAAATTCCAGCCAATTTTCCCAAAGGCTGATGCCATATTGCTTGTGGGAATGCAGGATTTGCAATTAGCTAATACATTACTTTCATGTAGAAGAAGAAATAGTTTTAAGACAGCCTACAGTAAAAGAAATTAATAGAGTTCTTCAACAAACACAACAACCGAACAACTTTGGATCCATTTTAGCACATAAAATCCGAAAGCTTAAAGTTGCAACCAAATGCCCACATACATGATACAAAAGAAAAAAAAAAGGACTAATATTTAACTAAATGGGATTAGTCCAAAACTCTCTAATGTGTATGACCAGCAAAATCAGAATTTAATTTCTTGAGATAAATTTCACCTGTCATCTGAAAATATGATGTTTGTTAAAATTGAAAATTAAGTGCTAAAGACCTAATGACTATTGCATTCGGTATAAATTTTAAGTAAAAATTTTGACTAATCATCTTAAGTGAATTACAGCTTAACTAAGAATTTTCTAAGATATCTGAATAAGTGTTATCAACAACTTAAAACTAATAACTGCTGAAAATTCTTAAGTGTTGAATTGTGATATCAAACACCACCTAACACGCATTATCATCCATAAACTTCAATTTGTCACCCTAATGAACTATTCCTTGTCCCAAAATATAAGTTGTTTAAGGTTTTTGCACAAAGATTAAGAAAGCAATTAATTCTCTTAAATTGTAACAAAACCAAAGATAATTTATCTCAAAAACAAAGGTAACTTGAAGATAATTATTATATCTAATATAAATAAGAATAAAATTTAAGAAAAAAAGATAAGTTATTACTCCTTAAAATATTCAAATAACTTATATTTTGGGACAAAACAATCACCCAACAACGACCTATTTTGGGACAGAGGGAGTAACATTTAAGTCATAAATCATTACTAACAGATTCATTAAACTCAAACAACAACGTTGATATGAATTTCATTGTACCAGTTTTTAAATATTTATTAATAAACATTGTTCATGTAAGAAATATTTGTTTCCAAGTGTTGCTCTCATAGAACCACTTTCTGTCCTCAATCCTCTCATAGTTACTCTCCCTAATTGCATATCAAAAGAATGCTTTTACTATAACTCCACTCCCCTCCACCTCTCTGTCATCTAATGCACATATCCAATGCCTCTCCACCTTCAAACTGCCTCCCTCTTTCTTCTCTTTGACCCAGCACCACTTGTTACTACCACCACATTCCACCTTTAGGACTCCTTTTGCCAAAGTCCTTTCCTATCTCCACTGTTTAATCTAAAGTCTCCTCCATCCAATCATTTATACAACACACATAATCAGAGCTCTCCAAAGCCCACAACAATGATATGCTCTCTAATGGCTATGCAGGTGGGTTTGCAGTTTCATCTTAATATTGGAAATAAAGCATTAGAATGCAAAGTACTCTAGAGACCAAACTTGAGGCATTTCAAGGAAATATGAGAAGAATCCATAAAAGAGGAAGGACAATGAGATACTTTTTTTCTTTTTGTGTTCGAACATGAGATGCCTTTTTTCTTTTTGTGCTTCTCTTAAGTTATGGTATGAGTTTCTTTTCCTTTTAGCTTTTCTTCGTTTTCATCTGTTGATTTGTGTTTTTGGAGGTAAGTCTTATTTCTGTAGTTGTTGTTATATGGGTTGTGGCTATGTTGAGGCCAAAGGAGGAAATGCAATTAAAGAAATTGAAGAGTAAATGGGGATGTAAAAGCTTGAAGCGGCTGGGGGGAATCAAATGGGAAACAGGGAGAATTGCCCCTATCATGCAGTTCACTTCCATTCCAACAATAAGAGGAAAAAAAAAAAAAAGGTTTTAAATGAACTTTTAGTTAAAAAGCAAGCAAAAATTGAACTTTCCAAATTTTGAGAGATGAAATTTTTTTATCACAAAAGCTGAGGTGAGTGAGAACCCAATTCAATTTAATAGTTACAAAAGCAGGGAAGGTACTTGTATGTCGTTTATAGCTCTATTTTGGAATCAAAGGGGCCAAAAGGAGAAGGAGATCATGGCAATCACAGAGAGAATGGATGTTAATTGTAGAGGGAGAAGCAGAGGATAGAGAGAGAATCAATGGATGCAGAGAATGTGAGGAGAGAGAATGTGACTGTTTGGCAGACCTTTCATTTTAAAGATACTTAAAAAAATGCCACAGCGGAGTCCACATCAGCATTTCTGCCAGAGTTTGAAGAGAATCTTTTAGCAGTGATATATTGTTACTTCAATATATGTTAGGTAGTTTTTAAGTGATAATCAAAGTTTATGGATGATAATATGCATTAGTATCAACAAGAACCAGGGATGAAATTAACCCCTATAAAAACGGGGCCATTGCATGGGGCTAAAAATATAATACAATAAAGTTCAAGAGATATAAAAACAGGCCAAATACATATTTCCATCATGAACTTTCTTATTTTAACTTTATGGTACTCTCAACTTTGTGAGAGATCTATTGTGCCCCTAAAATTACGAATTTTCATAACATTGCATGCCTTTCTACACTAACAATAACAGTTTTGGAGTTCTTGACTTTTATATATAAAATATTGATTTGATGTGTGGACATCACGGTTTTTGGAACAATTATTTTCACAATTTTTAACCTTCTAATAGTTGTTTAATTGGTCTAATTTTGTAAGTTGAAGTGTTCAATAAAATGATGTTGCAAGTGTTTAATAGTTGTAAGTTGAAGTGTGTGGTCGATCAAAGTAAAAGTTGATGATGCCACAAGGTTAAAGTGAGAAAGTTCAGGGATGAATTTATGTATTCAGCCTATAGAAGCATGTGCATACTTCACATATAATCAATAAGGGAATACTCAATATTCAGAATCTAAAAAATGAAACAAACATGCAGAGTTTTCCACAAAAGCGAAAGTATCCAATATTTGGAATCATTAAAAGATCTAAAATTTGGAAGAAGCAAGTAGTATTACGGATCGAGATAATGGGTCATTTGTTGACTCTCTTAAATCAGCCACACGGATTCTTGTTGGGTCAGCTCTAGCACCAGCTCCAGTTGCAGATATAACCTTCAAACCCCTACGTACACATGCAGCAAGAAGTGCCACCTATTACAGATGAAAATTCAAGCATTGACATGTAAATACATAAATATAAATCAATCAGAATGGTTTGCACAAAATGTAGTTTTGGATACACGCATACACAATATAAGTAATTGCTAAGGCCTACTTTTTCATTAAAAAAAATATCAAAGAATCTAAAGGGTTTCCTTCACACTATTGCAAACCGCATAAGGAAGCCAGGATAATTTCCTGCTTTATGCTAACCTCTTTAGACAGCCTATGGTATAGGTATATATAGGATGAAGCTAGTATCAAATTTTTCTATCCCTGAAGAACCCATATCAAATCTTTCTATCCCTGAAGAAGCAAAAGTTTGCTGCTGGCTGAACTTAAAAGCATGAGGACATACCTTTGTATCAATGTTATCAATACAATCCAAAACAAAGTCAGGGTTGCCTGAAAGAATTTCCTCCTCAGATGCTGTATCATATAATAGTACTTTTGCTCCTATATGGCACTCTGGAAAGATCGATGAGAAATGCTTCTTGAGGCACTCAGCTTTAGGAATACCAACATCTGCTCGTGTTGCAACAGCATGTCGATTTAAGGATGAAAGAGAAACCTTTTCATGCAATCAAGAACAAGCATCTTAGAAAATCATATATATTATAACTTAGATCATGAAGAAGGAAAATCTCATGCTTTTATTTTTCCTTGTTGTTCTACTGGTGTTGCTGTAAGCCCCAGGCACCCTTAAAGCACCAAAGACAGTTGGAGCCTAAACACAAGGTACTGCCAGATTCTGACAGGAAATATGTAATAAACTACATGGAAAGATTTATAACACAAAGCAAGAAAGGGCTAGATAAATTCTGGAAGCAGGAAGGGTAAAGAAAACCTAATAAAGATAAAAACAAAATTACAAAAAGCAAGGTCCAAAAAGAGAGAGAGAGAGAGAGAGAGAGAGAGAGAGAAAATATAGACATAAAAACACACTAAAATGGCCAAAGAATCTCAGAAGACCATGAATCACACCACAAAAGGAAAAAGAAGAAAGCCATGAGTCAAAATACCTGATCAAAGTCTACAAGGAGAAGCTTCCCAATTCCCGACCTCAGAAGCATAGAAGCAGCATGACTCCCAACGCCTCCAAGACCAATGACAACAACATAGGATGCAGCTACCTTGCATTGAGAATCGAGGCCAAAGAATTGGATGTTCCTAATAATGCCAAAGTAATACATTTTATTACCCTTCAAAACTAAGCTAAAGCATCAGTACCCCTAAAGACAAAAAGGATCTACAAATATTAATTCCACTACCAGCCCCAAATACCAAAAAATGACTCCAGGGCATACAAAATAAAATTTCAGAGTAATAAAAGTATGTATGAGAAAAAATCAAAGTTAAGCTTCTAAAACCTTTATTACACTCTAAAAATGATGTGTACAATCAGCATAAGGATCTCTTTGCCCCATCAATTAACCGCCCGCATGTTGGTCAATTTATTAAAAGATATGCTGACACTTTTATAATATCATTCATATAAAGAACGTTCAAAAACTACAATCACATAGACAGGATCCTAGAAGGGGCAAAAACCTGAAATGGTGATGCAACTACATCTTTAAAGCACATATATTTTGCCAAAACTATAGACGCAAAAATAGCAATATCGTAGCAGCTCAACAAATAACTGTTTTGTAAGACAATAATTTTTTAACATACAGCAAGGCTATGGGGGCTAAATCTTTAAAAAAACCCCAAACTTTGCGGGTAATTTTAATTGTAAGGAATCAAACTTTCTTCTCCTAGTACCCTGAATTTCAATTTTAATTACAATAGCACCTTAATTTCAAATTATACCAAATTTAATAAATAAAATATTATTTTCGTTGGACCTATATCTATCTCATGGTCAAGTTAACCAAAAAATCACCATTTAACAACACCTTAACTAATATATTAGGAATTTAAATTCATAAAAGCCAAGTAAAACAATAAATTTTAGTTAGTTATAAGCGTTAAATATTAATTTAGGTTTTTATTTTGCCATTTTTTAAGCATGAAATTAAAGCAAGTAAAACAATAAATTTTAGTTAGTTATTAAGCGTTAAATATTAATTTAGGTTTTTATTTTGCCATTTTTTAAGCATGAAATTTTAGTTAGGTTTTATTGATATTATAGTTAAGTTAGTTCTCTTAATTTATAAAAAAAAGAGTTTTTTATTCATTACGGCGTAATTTTTTTTTTGGGAAATTATTTCTTTGTTGTCAATATTATATAAATAAATAAAGTATTTTATTTTTAAAGATGAATATATTATTTTATTTTAATATTTATTATAAAATAAATACAAATATTTATCTTCAGGGCCATCCAAAAGATTGGTTTTATTTTAATATTTATATAAATAAATACAAATATTTATCTATCAGGGCCATCAAAAGATTGGGTCCCACGAAAATAATATTTTATTAATTAAATTGGGTATAATTTGAAATTAGGGTACTATTGTAGCTAAAATTCAAGTTCAAGGTACTAGGAGAAGAAAGTTAGATTTAGGATGCAATTAAAACTACCTGCAAAGTTTGGAGTTTTTCTAATGATTAGCCCAGCTGTGAGGGTAGGTAAAATTCATCCATAGTCAACAACACCATCTAAACTTGATTTAATGGCCAGCTCCATTGGCATAAAAAAAATTTTCCATAGTTCTCAATTGTGCTAAAACAATACAGAATAATCCTCAGAAGTTCAAACCTTCAGAGTTATCATGTTTAACAATCCAGTCACAAAACCACAGTTAATTAAACTATAATTCAATTTATGTTATAACAGATCCTATTACTAAGAACACTGAAGAATAAATCAAAATCTTAACAGGAAGAACACAGGAATTTATGTGTTGAAGACATGCTACGCAGACATAAGGAGACTAGTTCTATTAGTCTCAAACTAGCTTTAGTGAGTCAACATATGTCTATAGACTAGGTTTTGTGATAGAATACTAGGCAATCTATATAACTGCAAAATATTATAGAGATAAAAGCATACATCCTACACCTACTTGATACTCCCTCCGTCCCAAAATGTGTGTCCATGTTTCTATTTTTAGATGTCCCAAAATGCTTATCCAATTAACTTAAGAGATATTTACTTTTTCTTTTATGCCCCTAATTATTATAACTGATTTTAAATTCTAGGAATAATATATTTCTTTAAAGGAGGACAATTTTGGAAGAATTGGGATATTTTGTATGATGTGGCACTATAGTTATTTTATTTCTTAAACTTTGTGTAAAAGTTAACAAGACAAATATTTTGAGACGGGAGGAGTATATAAATTTGATCATGCAAAAGGAAGATTCAATTTACATTACCTGGTCAGTTGTTCAGAAACTATTTCATCACTTAAAAGGTCAGGACCAGGAACCATACAATCCATATCTTGAGTGACTGAGCATCTTCCAAGTGACATTGATTCATGTCCTTTCCCTGTTAAAAAATATAATTAGAGATTCCTGTTTGCACAAGTGTTTCATAGAGATTGAGATAAAGGTCAATTCATCATAGTTATTAGAGGGTGATGCTTTGCAACCATAATCACCAACATATCCTCAGGAATACTTCTATGCCACCCAAACTACAATACAGATACAGTGATATTTCTATGTGAAGCACATGATGGAAAATTTAAAAATTACATACACAATTATTTCCAACCATAACACCTTAACTCTCCTCAATTCTTTTTATGAAATAAATGCCAAGAGAAACAATATATTAGCAATTAAGAGGCAATTGGCACCTATCCGCGAGTTAAATAAAAATTTGCATTCCTGTTCAACAAAATTTTGCAATATATACCCATATCATATTAGATTTTAAAACAGATGGCAACAAAGGACATCCTGAACCTTTGATTTAGTTACAAAAGCATAGAAAAGAGATTATCTAATAAAAAGAGAAACAATAATTTGGTCATAAGGACATACCATTTAATTCCATAGCCTTTTCGCTGCTTTTGCCAACAATCTTTCTGCAGTAAACATAACCAATATATTGCCCAATATCAATAGTTTTCCAGGCACTATTTAGAATGAAAAATATCGTATTGGAGGTATTAGAATGAAATAAAGTGTTTGACTTATGATATTGAGCATCTTAGAATTAATTTAAGAAAGATTTGTGTATATTTTCTTTGTTGTAATTTCCTATTTAGACATCGGTTTGCATATATAAATATAGGCTTAATATAATTCTGGAATTCAAGAAAGAAACAACAGAAACCTTTCATTCTTTCTTCTTCCTAATTTCAACAAAAAGATTTTGGAGGGAGAAAAAATAACATATGTTTGTTTGCTTATGAAACCTTAGAAAATTTTAAAAAAAAGAATAGTTTGATTGTGATGGAAACACCAAGTCTTTTACTTGCCTTGGAAGATGCTTGAGAAGAACCACAGTAGAAACAGAGCCCAAAAGAGCCCCAGCACCAATAAATGACAAGTATTTTAGTCTTCCCTCCATTTTGTTTTCTCCTCTTCTCCTACTGTTTCCTTTTCTCCTCTCAGCTCCTTCTTCTTCTTCCCAGGATTGCAGTTTCAGCCTTTGTTTGGGAGTAATTTTGAGAGGGAATTATATGGTTTAATAAGTTTCAAAACCATCTCCCTTGTTTGGGAGAGGATGGGTTCGGAATGGGTATGGCTTTTGGAGTTTTCTTGATAACCATGACTTTTTAGTGAATATGGATCCAATGTTCACAGCATCTGTTCCCAACAAAACATACAATTGAATGTTAGAAACGGGAAAAAACTATACCAAGAAAGATCATATACATTCAAGTACGTCATTGCAACAGACTGCGACAGTAGGGATTGCAGTCAGAGATACTTCCATGAGTGAAAATGCTTGAAACATTATAAGAAATATTCTAATTGTAGAAGGGAACGTGTATCAGAACCATTGGTTACACAGGACAGCTTGGGAGGCTGGTTAGAAACGGTTATTTTTTATTAATTTTGGGTTTATTGAAGGGGCTAGGAAGGGTGAATATGCAAGGGAACCATTAGACTTTTATCAGAATAGGTTAAAGAGGTGAAGAAAACACAGAAGGGTTATGGGCCTCTTATGCAGCACCGTGAACAGTTTCAGTGAAGAGTACCCGTGAATAGTTATGTGAATAGTAACTGATGAATTGATACAAACACACAAACCCTAATTGCACAAGAGGATATCCTACTCCCAACTGGTAGGGGTGCCCACGATTCCGAAACCGCCGGTATCGGTTTTGGAACCGACAGTTCCGGCCCCAAAATATCTGGAACCGAAATCAAACTGGAAATTGATGGTTCCGGTTACAATTTGAGACCGAACGGTTACGGTTTCAATTCCGGTTCCTTAACGGTTCCAAATCAACAGTTTTGACCAGTTCTCCGATTAATTTTCCAACATTATAAAATCAAAAGTTAAGGAACATTTTTTATTGAAAAAGTAAAATTTAAATATTTATGAAATAATTTTAAAAAGAAAAAACTTAAAGAAAAAATTAAAAAAGGCTTAACTTAATTTATTTATTAAAAAAAAGGTTTGAACTTTTTTTTTTTAGAAAAATGGCTTGAACTTAATTTTATTAAAAAAAAGCTTTGAAACTTTAATTTATTTATTAAAAAAAAGGTTTGAACTTTTTTTTTTTAGAAAAATGGCTTGAACTTAATTTATTTTTTTTAAATGAAAAGGGGTATTTATAGTAAGTCGAAAAAATCAATGTTTCGCAAATACCCTTAAAACTAACCGTTATATAGCTGTTAGGAGAGTTAACTTGCGGTTTCACAATAATATTTGAAAAAATAAAAAGAAATTATTGAAATCGGGTGGAACCGCCAGTTCGAACCGTCGAAACTAACCAGTTGGAAAAATCGCTGGTTCCAGCTGGTTCCGACCAGTTCTTAGAATCGCCGGTTCACGGCTCCTCAAAAGTTAGAACCAGAACCTATATACCCCCGGTTCCAGTTCCGAACAGGCGGTTCCGGTTCTAAAAACAAAAAAATGGCCACCCTACCAAATGGACCTATTACAAGGGCAAAAACTAAGAAAGTCAAGGAAGCATTTGATAGATTGGTCAAGAAAATATTTGGGCCTAATGATAAAGTGCCAAATAAAGAGATGGCTTGCAAGAAAATCCAAGGCTGGTTCACATGATCCAAATATGTGGACCTTAGGCCTTATATTTAGCTTATGTTTAAAATAGTATAATTGGGTCTACTTTAATTGGGCTTTATGTTTTAATTAGTTTTAGGGTTTCCTACATATAAATACTTAGCTATCAAGTATTGTAGGGGAATTTTTTCGGTTTATGCATTTTATTTCAAGAGAGGCGAATTCTCTTTGGTTCTTCATTGAACTTGCTTTCGAACTCAAAGATAATTAATCTTTGTGTCATTCATCCTTTCACCTTGACATCTTTGGTTCACGCTTGTAGTTGAGTTTTGGGTCAAGATCCGCACTCCCATCCAACAAGAAATTCCTAATTTGAGAATCAGGGTTCTTAATTCGAAATTTAGGGTTTATATATCAAATCTGATTTTGGGTTCTTAATTCGAAATTTAGGGTTTATATATCAAATCTGATTTTGTCACGATCCATTGTTATGGGCCGGACCGGCACTAGGGCCCAGGTAAGCTTAAAGCCACCGAGACCCGTAGTAAGCCTTTGACACCAGTAATATTCATTAAGTCTAATAAATGTATTCACAGCACAAACTTTGTATGAATATATATACTTGAAAACCAAGGCCCAATTCGATATACCATCATCATTCGACAATTATTAGTAACCCTAGCCTATTCTATAATCAATCCCATCAGCATTCATAAAAGTATCTATGAGCTTGCCCAACAATCAGCACTAAATTTCATTCACAATTTTCGAATAATTATTTCTGGAGATCAGACATTTTTGGATATCTTATTACATATATTACTTTCTTATTGTAATTGAGGATCTCTACAAAATATACAATACTAAGAAAATTCAGTTAAGAGCAGCCTATAATTTAACTAAACCTTATTTTACCTAGCTCTACAGAGGAAAGGATACAAAGCTTCTGGCTAATTAGAGGAGATTCCTGAAAAAAATTAAGTGAAGTGGAAGTGAGTGTTTCAATTCAGCGAATAATAATAAATAATGCATTCTCATACAGTCACACAACATTCTCCTGGGCATTCTAAAAGTGAACACTCATTTAAACACACACATGGCATATCAACAGCACCCACAAACAATATCATTTTCACATAGTCAACCAAGTGGAGATTGGTGTGTAAGTCACCCAAAACCCCTGACGAGTCGCCCTCACACATGACCCGTCCTCTCATAACATGTGCACCTGAGAGTCGATCCCCATACATGGCCGACCGATCTAATCCTCACTTGACCAATCCTCTCATTGTTTTTCTATTCCCTCTTTTCTTTTCCATTACCAACAGGAGGCTACCCTGTGATTTTCCATATAATATATATCATCAGATGCACACGGGGGCACCAATCTCCCCATACATGGCCAATGGGTATAATAGACCGCCTTCACAAACCCATGGTGACCCACTTCATCTCAATTCCACACAGCAATCCACACAAAACAAAGCACATCATTATCACAACACATGTATCAAGAAGTACAATTAAATGGCCAAAGTTACATCAAACAATTAAATATTATAATGCAAGTACACAACTAGACTCATATACAAATACAAATAAATATATAAGTTAACAATGCTAATAAATATTTAATAAATTGGTACTTGCAAAAATAACCTAAAATAATAAACAAAGCGTTATATAATAATGATTTTATGTATAATTCCAAATGGTATGTACTATTATTATTAGTTACAATGATAGATGAGAAAAAAGTACCATAATTTGGATTCTAACTTGTCTTGGAACAATGAACGAACTAGAGTAATTCTAATGAAATGAAATGGAAAGGAGAAGGAAAGAATAAATAAAGCATTCTCTAAATAAAGCATTCTCCTAAATAATAATAAGGGATTATCCTAAATCAATCCTACAACCTATTTACAAGTAAAACTAATCTAGATTCTGTCGAAATTTCGACAAAACATCCCCTAAGAATTGGATTAAACCACCTGCTTGAAACTACAATTCAATAATCAATTCTCAAAAGCCCATCCATTGGGCAATTTACAACAACCAATCCCATCCGCCACAACCATTATTTATTCATCTAAACTCAATTCATGATTAATACGAACTAACATCATATTTTGAGTTTATCAAAACGCTATATAATTACATTATCAAAATAAACAAACCACCAATAGTTCTTTTTCTCTTTATAGTGAATAACTCAACTCATCCATATTTGAGCTATAGGTTAATACATTCTTTTACTAACAACTAAATTGTATTTTAAATACATTCTTTCACTAACAACTAAATTGTATTTTAATTAAGAACAATAGTTGCTTGCTCTTAGGTTTATAATTTATACTTGGAGGTATTAAGGTTCAAGGTTATATTTATATAGAACTAAAACTTCCTCAACTTTAACTCACAACACTAATCAATTCTAGTTAAACTAAATTAACAATTATCTAATTAACTAACTAAGGCTTTCTAAGGTCACGCTAACTGCTATTTCATCCATTTCTGCTATTTTTCAGCTTAGAAGCCTATGTACCAAATTTGCGTTACTTCTTAGTTTATAAACTATGTTTCCATTTATATATATATTTTATATATATATAATATACTATATATATATATATATATATATAATATATATATATATATATTACAGAAATTATTCCAACGTTACAATAAAATAAAACAACTGTGGTCTATTGTATATATATATATGATATTCATAAAAATGATATTCATATATATACAGAAATTTTCAACGTTAATAAAATAAAAAACTGTGGTCATATATGTATATATAAATGTTTGAGGAGCTCAATCATTCTACTCAGTTTCTGATTATTAGCTACCTTGTAACAGGTCAGTTATGCAATACAAGGATAACTCAGTTCTGGAAATTTCCGATTCTAAAAGTATATACACAAAATCTGCTCTAATGAATGATTTAATTATTAATCGAGGTCAGTTTGCAATTCTAATTGCATATTTGGAATCCACATGATAAATCCAACATTTCAAAGTCCTTCAATTTTTAAACCGAAAGCCAAATTAATTTAAAGAATATTGAATAGAAGTAGAAATGGCTAGTTTTCGATTTACCTTAGTAAAAGAGACTACCGGAAAGGCTTGGCTTGCCGAAAAATCAAAGAAAGGAAGCTGTCTAATCCTCACAGCTTCGATTTGCGCTATTGGAGGTCTGTTCGTTGAGAAGGAAAGAGTCAGCTGCAAGAGAGGAGCATCCCGATAGCAGTCTTGCCGATTGGGACTCGCCAGAAGTCGGAAAAGCGGGTCGGAGGAGGCTAGCGGCACCACAGGAGAAAGAGCATCTATTAGTCCTAGTCAAGCTCCAATCGGCAAAAGGGAGGCCGGAACTGAGGTCACCGGTGTCCAGCAAGTTGATCGCCACCTCGCTTCGGTGGTTTGGCTGCCAGAAATCTGATCGGGAAGGGGGATATCGCAGTCTGCGATGGAGAAGAGGAGGTTTCGAGCTTCCTTTTTCCTTTTGGTTAACTGTTTCTCTCTCCTGTTCTTGATTGGTCTATATCTGTCGGGCTTAATTTACTGGTTCGGTTCAATTCAAATGGAAAACTTCTAGATTTTTAACGGGTTTGATGCTTTATGCTTGGTTCGATCAACATAGTGGTTTGGGTTCTTCTAGGCTTCAATGTTTCTAAAGATTTCTTTTGAACTCTAGGCTTTTTATTATTGATTCAATAATATTTAGTTTTATAATATTACTTTAATAACACAATGCTATAAAATGGGTTTTGTTTTTATTTTTAATAGAAAAGTCCTAAAACAATAAGTACAACTTTTGATATAAAATAAATAACTAATTTTAATTTATTTTTTTTATAACTTTATTAGTAGAGTTTTTCGGTTTTAAATTTAGCGTCCCGATATGGACTTAGGCCCAATATGATCTTTCGGGCTAAAAAGATCCATCCCACGTAACTCCATAAAGAAAATTTTGGATTTTTAATTTGATTAATTCATAAAGTTTTGAAAATAAAATTACCGATATTATAAATTTAGGGTGTCAAGACACTATTTTTGGGGTTCCACATCATTTGATATCAAAGTCTTGGCTCAAATCAGGTTCTATCTATCTTTATTTTACTTTTGTTTATATTTGTTTGTTTCCGTTTTGCTTCTGTTTGTTCCCATTTGTTTTCAATTGTTTCTGTTTTACTTATCTTTGTTTCTGTTTTGCTTCCGTTTGCTTTCATTTTGCTTCCATTTTGCTTTCGCTTATTTTTGTTTGTTTTTGTTTGCTTTCATTTGACTCCATTTGTTTCCGTTTGCTTCTATTTTTTTCCGTTTGCAACTATTGCAAAAAAAAATTTAAAAAAAAATCGCTCTAATCGAACCACAAAAAAATTATTGTTTGCAATTTCATCATACTAAGTTGGTTTCCTTTTGCTTCTATTTGTTTCCGTTTGCAACTATTGCTAAAAAAAAAAAATCGCTCCAATCCAACCACAAAAAAAGTTATTGTTTGCAATTTCATCACACTAAGTTGCAATCTATATTTTTTTTGTTTCCTGATTCAATCTAAACTTATATTTCATTGTTGAGTTCAGGTTAAATCAAAAAAGAAAAAGAATCAATCACCATAATAAAAAAAAATATAATTGCTTGATTATTGATATCTGTAAAGAAAAAAAAATTGGAGCTAGATTAGTTCAATTATGTTCTTCAATTCCCTTCTTTGTTTCTATTGATTGTTCAAAAGCGTACCTTTCGAGTCTTTTATTCTCCTTCTTTGAACTGCTGCGATTTAGCTATCTATTGATAAGTTTGAAATTTAGTTCCTTAAAGAACTAAAAGAGAATTCTTAAGAGTGGTAAAAGACAAGAGTAGTGAGCATAAAAGAGGGAAAAAGCCTGAAGTGTGTGAAACACGAGTGTGAGTCACATCAATTGAGTGTAAACATGCAAGGGAGCGTGTAAGGATCATCTCTAACATATTTTTCTTGCAGGTTTAAAATCCTGTCTAAGAAGGGAGAGAATTCCAACAAGAGTGACAATGAGAATCCAAAGCAACAACAAGATATATCATCTATGTTGCGAGCTATGCAAAGACAATTTGAAAGAATGAAAGTGGTATTTGGGGAAGAGATAGGATGGATAGGCAAGATAGACGTATTGAAGGGTTGCAAAGGGGGGGCGTTCTAGGCATGTTGCTAATATGAGACATCAATATAGACGACCATCTACTCCTAACTATTATAAGGATGAATCTGAGGAGGAAGATGATAGTGAGGATGAGCAAGATGGAGTAGATTTGCACCTAGATATGATCAAAGGCTTGGAAGAGAGCAAAGAGGTCGAAACATTATGGATAAGAACCTTGGAAGCATCAAAATGAAGATTCCTTCTTTCCAAGGTAAAAATGATCCTGATATTTATCTTAAGTTGGAAAGGAAAGTAGAGCTAATTTTTGAATGTCATAACTACGCTGAAGAAAGTAAAGTTAGCAGTGGTTGAATTTACTGATTATGCACTCGTATGATGGGATCAATTTATCACTAACAGGCGTAGGAATAGAGAAAAAGGCCTATTGAGACATGGGATGACATGAAAGCTATGATGAGAAAGATTACCATACAATAGCGACTTGTATCATCGCCTACAAAGCCTCACTCATGGTTCTAGAAGTGTGGAAGATTACCATAAGGAGATGGAAATTGCCAAGATCAAAGCAAATGTGGAAGAAGACCGAGAAGCAACAATGGTTAGATTCTTGTGTGGGTTGAACCAGGACATTGCTAATGTAGTGGAATTACAACACTATGTGAAATTAGAAAATATGGTTCACATGGCAATGAAGGTAGAGAGGCAGTTCAAGCAAAAGGGTACAAGCAAGTATGCACAAAGGGGCTCGAATTCCAGCTCCTCATGGAAATCGAATTAGAGTAAAAATAAGGATGACAGGGTTGCTCAAAAGTCCAAGGGCGAGAAGGATAAAGGCAAAGAGAAAACGGGTAGCCATAAAAAGGTAACACTTCTTCCTAATATAATAAAATACTAAATGCTTTAAATGTTTAGGAACTGTAATTGCATCTCAATGTCCAAATAAAAGAGTTATGATTATGAAAGATGATGGGACAATTGACATAAAAAGGTAACACTTCTTCCTAATATAATAAAATACTAAATGCTTTAAATGTTTAGGAACTGTAATTGCATCTCAATGTCCAAATAAAAGAGTTATGATTATGAAAGATGATGGGACAATTGAGATTGATCATGATGATAATGATAGTGATGATATGCCTCCTTTAGAAGATGATAATGATCAAGTACATGCTGTGAAAGGGGATGTATATATTACTAGATGTGTTTTGAGCATGCATATGGATGATGAGATTGTTGATGAGCAGCGTGAGAATATTTTTCATACTAGATGCCATATTAATGATAAGGTGTGTAGTATGATAATTGATAAGAGAAGTTGCACTAATGCAATAAGCACTATTTTGGTTGAGAAGCTGAATTTGTCATGCATTAAACATCCTAGACCAATAAACTTCAATGGTTCAACGAATGTGGGGAGGTTAGGATATATAAACAAGTATTAATTTCATTTTCTGTTAGTAAATATTCTGATGAGGTGTTTTATGATACTGTACCAATGCAAGCTAGTCACATTTTACTTGGTAGGCCATGGCAATATGACAAGCGTGTAAAGCATGATGGTTACACGAATAGATATTCTTTTGTGATGAATGGTAGGCCTATTACTCTTGTACCCTTAACACCTAAAGAAGTGTATGAAGATTAATTGAGGCTAAAAAAAGCCTATGATGAAAGAGAGAGATGTTGAGAACATTAAAAAAGGAGAGAATGAGAAAAAAGAGGATAAAAAAAGTAGGGAGAGAAAAATAGCAAAAGAAAAGAAAGTGAACTTGTATGTAAAAGAAAGAGAGTGTAAGAATGCTTTTTATGCAAAAAAGCATTAATTGTACTCATGTACAAGGAGGTTTATTTGAATATTAATGCATTTACCTCTACTTTGCCCAATGTTGCTATTTCTTTATTGTATAAATATGAGGATGTCTTTTCCGAAAAGGTACCAAAAGGTTTGCCACCTATTAGAGAGATAAAGCATTAAATTGATCTTATACCCGGAGCTTCCATTCCTAACAGACCAACCTATAGGAGTAATCCTGAGGAGACAAAAGAGCTAAAAAGGCAAGTTGAGGAGCTATTAGTAAAGGAACATGTGAGGGAGAGCATGAGTCCATGCGCAGTACCAGTACTGTTGGTGTCAAAGAAAGATAGTTCATGGGGATGTGCATAGATTGTAGAGCAATTAAAAAAATCACTATAAAGTATCGGCATCTTATCCTTAGATTAGATGATATGGTAGATGAATTGCTTGGATCTTGTATATTTTCTAAGATTGATTTAAAAAGTGGGTACCATCAAATTAGAATAAAGCCTGGTGATAAATGGAAAACAACAGTCAAAACCAAATATGGATTGTATGAATGGGTGGTAATGCCTTAAGGACTAAATGAATGACAGACTGAAATTATAAGGACTTCAAAAAGCATTTATAAAATGGCAAAGAGATCTCATGGTGGGTAATCACGAAAATCTATAAAATACAAAAATAGCAAACAAAAAGATTAAGGAGGAAGGGAAAAGGAAAATCTGTAACATCAGGGGAGGGGCAATCGTAAAGTAACTCAAAAACGTTTATTAAAAAAATAAAAAAATAAAAACAAAGAAAAACCATCTTTGAAACTTCATCCCATAAAACAAGAAAAGTAAATATAAAGATATCAGATAGAAGAAGGGGCATAGTATGAAAAATATCTCATTTCTACAGCTCCAAACCTTCTTTCCAAAATGATTTAAAATTAACTAATCATCCCAAATCAACCATCAATTGCTCGATGAAATTCTTCATTGAGATCAAACTAACAATAGAGTCAGTCGAAATTACCCACCCATCAATCTAGATACTACTTCACGATTTCTTTTGCGGCGGAAGTGAGAACACGATGCCATATATGGTGCTTATGGTGATCTGTGGTAACATACATGGTCTAGGATGAGGGAAGCAGAGTGGTATAGCCAGAATAAAACATGTCAGTATAAAAGGGTATTTTTGGCGTAATTTTAAATTCTCTTTCTTTTGACCCTTATTTTTTCATTGACTTAACGGCTAAACGAGACGGACTAAATGAACGGACTGAAATTATAAGCACTTCAAAAAGTATTTTTAAAAAGGTAGGGATGAAGTGATTGTATTTCAATATATATCGGGGATGTAATAGTAATTTTCCCTACGAATAAGTATGTGGTGGTGGCTAATATGATCAATTAACCCATATATTGCTAAACTTAGAATTTAAATTAATTGACCAATGTTGGAGTTGTTTAGATTGAGTGTCATATGGCTTTACTAAAACACAATTACATCAATTAAGGCTAATTAGGTCTAAGACCAAACGATATAGAGCAATTTAAATTCAATAGAACTTAATTGTAAGAGAATAATTATGTGGTGGTAGCTAATATTATAAATTAACCCGTAT